AAGTAACTGTGTTGCATGAAGCAATTTTTTTTAAATTATATCTTTAATTAAACTTTTTTTCATATGAAGAATAAAAATTAAATTATGAATTTAATTTTTATTCTTCATATGAAAAAAAGTGAGACTTTTTTTCAAAATGATCAAAATTAATAAGTGGCCCTAATAAATTGTCATATTACTGAATCTGACCTTAGAAAACCATTTATATGGAAAAATAGCATACATACTAAGGTACCCTGTGATGCAAACTTTAAAATCTTTTAATTTTATCTGCAAAAGTTCAATTTAAATGTTCAAATTGAGTAAAGTTTTGACTTTAGTTCAGTTAGAATGAGAACCACTCTATATAATTTGATAAAAATTGATGCAAATGTAGCCTACGACCACTCCAAACTCTGGAAAAAATTTTAGTCTGATTGGTGTACTGGTTAAAGATTTATGTCAGTTTTAGTTTAAATTTTGTTGGTTTTTTGCTACCTATATCTCAAAATGTTACAGATTACTGTGATATTCAGTCACTATTTTAAAAATAATGTTAACATAAGTGTTCTACTATGTAATACCAACAAAATTTATTATAATTGTTTTATTGGTACATGTACTATTTTCATTTTATAGACCAAATTATCAATTGGCTATTTAAAGCTTTGTTTGACCTGGTTTAAGCATTGGGTAAAAATATCAGCATTTTCTAAAGTATAAACTACTGTCAAAATGCATAAAAATGCTAAAAATTGGTTGAATGATTTTCCAGGAATACCTACATAGAAAATAAAAAATATTTATTTCTTTTAAAACAGATAAACTGCGAGAAAACCATATATTTTTTATATTGATTGAAAAATTTAGATAAGATAACTAAGATAACAAACCGCTAAAAAGTTTGGTCAGGAAAATTAATCTTTACAGATTAGGATTGTTTTAAAACAAAATTTGTAAATAATTTATAAATCAATTGCAAGACACTTGTATGGTGCGATTATTTTAGTTATGAATACCATTATAAACCAGCGGATTTTTATTGACTTGTTTACTCATAGATCATTATTTCATCATTTGTTAAAAGATGACTAGAGTGTGAGTTTTTATTCCCTTTTTCCTGAGTTGCTAACTTTTACTCTTCCAACTAAATAGTCTTTGCATTAATTTATGTTTTTTTACCTAAATGACATCATCTTCAATCTGTTTTTATTTTCACATCTCCCAGGTCTACGTAACTGGACGGCTCCGTTGGTCACTTTTTGCGATCATTGTGTCGCATAAACAAAAAAAATTATTCTTTGTGGCTGTTGAGCCCTGACTTTTTCCAATGTACGTCACAACGACAAAACGGACATTAGGCTATCCCGCTGGATGTGGTTACAGCGCTCAATAACCTAATGACTACGCTGACACTCACGCACACGTTCAATCGGAAGCTCCACAATGCACATCAGATCAGCGCTCACTGACTATGTGCTCAGATCTGAAATCTCACTTCATAGCACATCATTCTACACCAGCACGGGGCAGTAGCTCTTTTGGTTAAGAGTGATGGCTTGTGGCTTACGGTGACTAATGTGTGCATTTGATCAATTGAAATCCATTCTGTAGGTCTCACGTCTGGCTCTGATGTGCTAGCCCATAAGCGCAAGAAGTGAGTGTGTTTAGCTTTCTATTCACCCGATTTGAAAGTGAATGGAAACATAACGAGACCATACTAGACGGCAAACGTACGTACTAATGCACTACACCATCACACCTGTAGACATCAACGGTCTTCAAAATCAGTATATCAAATATTTGTTCTTTGTTACATATGATCTACATACAGAGTGATTAGAGTGTTAGTTTGTTCTCTCCCTGCCCTCCGAGCATTTACTTCGTTCTTTACCTTCACAAAAGTCTTATCACTCATTTTATATTTTCATATTATTTTTATTTTTTATTCAATGACACCATCTTCTAACTATTTTTATTATCTTATCTCTCAGGTCTACGAAACTGGACGGCTCCGTTGGTCACTTTTTGCGATCATTGTGTCGCATAAACAAAAAAATTTATAAATCAATTGCAGAGGCACAAAAAAAGAAATTTCTATCAAAAGAGAAAGATGTTATGAAGGACAGAATAGTTCTTTGAAGAGCAGTAAAAATTTTTTTTGGACTGTGCTATCAAATAAGATCTCATTAAATATGTCATTAAGTGTGACAAGAATCATTAATTTAAATAATTATTTTCTTGTAAGGAAAGATTTATTCAAAAATTATTTCCATGTAATTTAAGTAAATATTTTTTTGATTTTTATAGTCTTTAATCAATAATAATTGTAAGTATGTTTATTGGACTATTATCCAATAAAAATTTAGGTTAGGCTTTGTAAAAGTTAGAATTTGATTTAGTGAAGTTAGGTTTAGAAAATTGCCACAATACCAAATCAAGCAAAGATTCGTTTGAAAGTTATACATTTGTGAGCTTGCTCTGTCTGAGAAAATGCTTAAAACAGTTTGTTGCTTTCCAAGCAAATCAAATTTGCTAACTGTACAAGGCCAAGATCAATATCAGTGATTCTTGGGTACAACAAAAACTCTGTGAATTGTGCAGAACTACTTTGCACAGGAAACAAGAGTGGAAAGAAGTTGCATTCCTTCCTTTGTTTGGTTTCAAAGCAATACAAGTGATCCCTGAAACAAGAGGCACGATGTATTATTGCCTAATCTGCTGAAGTAGTTGTTCAAAGCTGCAAAAGAAACATCCTCTTAAAGAGCAAACTGCAAGTGAGAAAGAACCAAATGTTCTCAAATAAAGTTTAGAGAAAACTTTCAATCTTTAGCAGCAAAAGATACCAAAGCAGCCAAAGAAATTGTATCTCTAGGTTAATAAAGAAATATTGGAAGGAACTATTAAACTTGCTAAAGCTTCTGGTGGGCCTCCATGTACAATTACCTAAGGTAAATATTTGCACTTTTTAAAGTATATTAAAAGAAAATCATGACTATTAAAAAATGAGACTAGATAGATTTCAGGAAGTTTTTTGACTAGTTTCTAATCTTTTTAAAAATGATTTACTCAAACTTTCTAAACAAAGTTTATTACAAACATAAAATATGTATGTTTTGGTTTTAGATCAATATAGTGCCCAGTCATTAAACCCATTAAACATTCCAAAATTGACCACTCTACCTTGGGTAAATGTACAATTAAACACAAGCCTGTCAAACAATGGATTAAAGGAACTTTTCAGAACTGTAAACCAAATATGAAGTAGTAAGATAATAGAGCCAAATTTTTGTTTTTTAATCTCACAAAATTTCTGGTGGCTATTTTGCTAAGCTAGGAGCTGATAGTGGTATAGGATTTCTTAAGTTTACTATAGGATTGTCAATACTGTGTTATGGGATGAAACCAGCTTGCCACCACGACAATAACCTTTCACTCAAAAGACTGGACAAGATGCTGGAGTCAATAGACATGTTCTTTTTGCAGTATCAGAAGGTATGTCTGAAAGACATACCTTCTGATACTGAAAAATTAGAAACTCACTTTATTATTAAACAAATCTGGTCACTGATTAATACAATGGAGTTAAAATAATTTTGGCTTGTGACATGAAAGTTGCTTAATTAAAGACTACAAATATAATTTGTAGTTTTCAAACCTATCCAAGTATGGACCCTTACACATGGTATGATATCAAATCCAAGTGTCTTGCCAAATCTGAAAACTGGTTAATACTGGATGAGGTTCATAAAAGATGATCAGAGGCTTCTTTAAAGCCTCTGAGCATCTTTTATGAGCCTCTAAGCATCTCTAAAGAACTTCTAGCATAGTTTGAGTTATTAGAAATTAGACAAAAAAATTCTTAGCCTACGGTTTATAATGAGCATTTTCGCTATCCTAATCCTTAAATGCTTTAATTTTTAATATTAATTTTGGTATTACATTTAAAAATAGTATTGTAGAGTGTATGTATTAAAAAAGTATATTTAGCTATCTATTAATAAAATTTTGAGGAGAATATGTCTTAAAGTGTAATTAGATACTATTTTATTTTTTGATACTATGTAAAAAATAAAGTTTAAATATTTATTTTTTCATTTTTATTTTGAAAGTAAATATATTTAATAAGGTTTCAAGATTCAACAAAAAAATTGTTAACAGAGACAAATTTTTACTTGTTTTGCCAACTGATAGTTTTTCGTCCAGGTTTTTCAAAAAATAAATATTTAAACCTTATTTTTTATATAGTATTACCATCAAAAAGTATTACACTTTAAGACATATTCTCCTTAAAAATTTATTAATAGATAACTAAATATACTTTTTTAATACATTTGTTAATCATTTTTATGCATTTTGGCAGTAGTTTATGTCTAAGAAAATGTTGATATATTCACGCTATGCATGGGCCAATTTAAACCACTATTTATATAGAAAATCAATATTTTGGTCTATAAAATATGCACTAATAAAATAACTATAATAAAAGTTGTTGGTATTACATAGTAGAACACTTATGTAATCATTATTTTAAAAATAGTGACCGAATATTACAGTAATCGGTAACAATTTAAGACATAATTAGCACAAAACTAACAAAATTTAAAATAAAACTGCCATAAATCTTTACCCAGTTAATGAATCAAACTGAAATTTTATCTAGAATTTTGATGGCCATTGCCTACACTTGCAAAGCGGTTTTTATTCTGCAAGTTTTAGTTGGACATCATGAAGTCAAAGTTTCACTCAATTTGAACATTCAAATTGAATTTTTTTTTGCTGACAAAACTAAAGGTTTTCAAATTTTGCATAACAGATTATCTTAATGTATACACTATTTTTACATATAAGTTACACTAACAATAGAGCTCTTATTCTAAAGTTCTTGGATCAGCTTAGTTGGCATTATCAGGATCCGTGATAACCGTTTTGCATTTCTATACAACAATATATGATTTCATATATGATGATTTCATAACCCATTAACAGAAAAATTGTATTAAAAACTTGGTTTATCATAGGTTGTATCTTCAGATATAAACAAAACAACAAATGTTAAAAGTCTTCAATCTGAAAATCAAAATGATGTTAGTCAAAACAATTTATGCTCAGATGCTACTAAAAAGAACACACCTCAGGAAGAAAATAGCCTATCAACTGATCATGAGCAGAATAATATAAACAAACTTCAGGACCAAAGTAAAAGCAATAATGTAGAATGGTAAGGATTGGTTTTTTACTAATCTGTTATGCAGACAAAGAAAGTTCAAGTCAAAATATCATATAAATTGTATAACATTTTATGAATACTATATAAAATAATGAATTACATAAAAGTAAATCATATAACAAAGTATTGAAACATAAACTTTCTTTTTATAACTATATTTTATTTAAAAAAAATATTAAAAAAAAAAAAGTATTTAAAGTGTTCAAATCTTTAAAACAATAATTTTTTTTTTATGTTTTATAGTAAGCATCAGATCCCAAAAAATCAAAATGAACTTGTTGCCAAAGAGCAGACCAATCAAAAAGAAGAGGAGTTGTATGAAATTTTTCTTTTCAAATATAGTTTTAGATAAAACACTTTGTTTATAATCAAAAAATTGTTTAGGTTTAATTGCCAGTTGTTCAATGTTGCAGTTAATAATTTCAACATGATTTCAATATGTTTTTATGTTGTGATAAAAGAGCCTGGTGACGATCTTTATGTAATGTTTGGACATGAATGTCTTGGTAATTGGAAACAGCCTGCTGTTCGTATGAGTTTTTACAAGTATAGTTGTATTTTTATATTAATATAGAAAGTTTTACTCAAATTTGTATGATTGAAATGTGTATTACCAAGATAATGTATAATAAATATTATGATTGAGGAAATATGCAAATATAATGTACAGTATCTATTGTAATATAGTATATATAAAGTATATATAGTAAATGTTTATTATACTTCTATATTGTTCTAGTTATATATATATATAGTTTTTTTTTTTTTTTTTAAAAAAAAAAAAAACTATATATATATATATATATATATATATATAGTTTTTTTATTTTTTTAAAAAAAAAAAAAAAAAAACTATATATATATATATTTTTTTGTAAAAATTTCAAAATACTCATTTATAGAGAAGAATTCCATCATTTTACAATAGCTTTCTTTTGATCAGACATATAATAAGCTCTAATTCTACAGCTTACTTATTAATGTTATAACAAAAAAGTTGTATCATGCATTAAAAGATAGCAGCGAGGTAAAGCTTATGACTCTTAACATGTTAAAGGACTTGATAAAACCTGGCAAGTATATCTTATTCATTACTTTGCTTTATATGGTGTATCTAAGAAAGTTTTTGTATTTGTTAAACAATTTCTTTCTAACGGCAATATCAGTCACCCTCGAAGGCTCAACACTTTTTTAGTTCCAGTTACTTCTCAGGTACCACAAGGTTCTACCCTTGATCTTGTACTGCTTCTCTTCTATATCTTCATAATCTTCATAACATTTATCTTCATAACAATTTTACATCTAAAAAGGCTCTACATGCTCACGACACAACTGTATATTTCTGTCTTGACAAAGATCCATCACTTTTTTATCACTTAGAACAGGCAGCCAATCTTGAAACGAATCTCACATTTTGTAACAGCTTGAAACTTGCAGTGGCTTGTGATTTTTAACTCCAGCCAAACTCAGTTACTTTTTACAAACAATTATTGCAATATTGTTTTTATTTCTATAATGATGAATTGCAGCCCTCTCTACTCATCCTTAAGATTATCAATTCATAAGATTATTATTCATTACTGACCTTTCATGGAAACCATGTACATGTGGAAATCATGTACAATCCATTACAAAGTTAGCATCTGCCAATGTTGGCTCTCTTTAAGGTGCTTGCTATATTCATACTCCTGAATACATTCTCTACCTCTGTAATCTCTTTTTTGTCCTTGTATGAAATGCTGTTATCATATTTGGGTTGGTAGGTTATATTTGGCAGCCGAATTTTAAGCCTAAATTCATTTATTAGTTATTGTAAATGTATATAGGCTTGCTTTTTCTTTCAAGCTTGAACTGCTATTTCATTATTGAAAGCATCTCTTTTTGTTTTCTACAAATACTATCACTGCTCAAATGAGCTATTATCTTTAGTTCCATCAGCCAAAACTCATTTTTGCTTGACTTATCATTTATCAAAGTTGTATCTTTTCAATGCATCAGTCTTTTCATGCTCAAAAACTTTAATTTATCTAATTTCTTTCATCACACATCAATACTTTAAGACTACTAGTCAAGGGTGTATGTTGGTAATGTGTTATACCCGCTACTCAAAATAATATTTTGAGAGAAATTAACCCAATTTTTTTCATTATGAGACTCTAATTATTATATAGCTATATAAAAACAAAAGGCAATATCTGTTTCTATATAATTGTATGGCTATTCTATAAAAACAAGGTTATTGTTCAACTTGGCATTATGCTAAGTTGAATTTGAACTTAAGAGAATATTTTAATTATAAAAGAATAAAGATGAAGTATGAAAAAATAACTTTATTTTGGACAAATTTAACTTTTTTTTATATCTTGATTTCTATAAAAAGAGATTTTGTTGAAAATGTCATATTAGTTTAGTTTTCACTCCTCTTATATTAATAAAATTTTTATTAATATTATCAAATAAATATTTAAGTTGATATTTTACTGTGTGTGGTCAATTTTTTCTAATTATATGTTTTTCTATCAAGTAAATAATTATATTATATAATAAATTCTATTATATAAGTGTCACTTATCTAAATGTGAAAAAATAATGGAAAAAATGAAAATTAGTTAAAAATTATAGTTAAATTAAAATTAATTAAATGTGAATAAATTAAAATAATAATGATACAAAAACTGATGACATATTCTTATGTACCTTATTTTGATATGAAGAAGACATTGGTGATAAAAAAAAATTAAAATCTACACCTAGCATATTGAAACTTCCCATATATAACATTGATCTTTTGCTCTTAGTATGCAACTACAATATATTAAGCATTTTTTGATTCTAATTGAAAAAAAAAAAAACTTAATACAGTAAACATAATATTATTATTGATTGTTAATCACAAATGTTCAAAGTGTCACAAAGTATTTTTAGCATTTAGAATTTTAAATTTAATTTACTATAACCATCAACCGGGGTAACTTTGGTCAGTTTTGGCAGATTTTCTTAAACATCTCTGAATCTTATTAGTTCTTTTACAGTTTTCTCTTGTGGTAATAATGTTATAGGTCTTGGCTATAAGCCTCTATATTTATTTTTTTATGACAAATATATATTTTTAAATGCTGAAAAGTGACCATTGTTACCCTAGGTTTTGGGATAACATTGGTCATTCATTATTTGTTATGTTTGATTAATAATACCACTGCTATGGGGTAACATTGGTCACTTATTGGAGTTTTAAAAAATCATCATGTATTTTTTGCTCAACATGTTAAAGACCTCTTTGACATACAACTGTTTTTAAACAGGGATCGTCCATCACATTTGTTTCATCATAATTGTATATATGACTAGCAGATACATCTTCAATTACATGTTGCAATTCATCGAAGTAAAGGTTGACATTCAATGCGTTGATCTTGGCACATGCTGGTTTCACATTTTCTGCCAACCTCTGAGTCAAATTGTTTTGTTTTATAAAAGATTTCAACCAGTCGTCACCGTAAACATTGTTTTTGAACTGTGAATCATGGACACCGGATCAATCCAAGTAATCTTTCACTAGAAGTTTGATATCTATTAAAGTCAATGGAATTTTCCGGTTGGAGAGGGTGTTAATTTAAGTTACAAGATATGTTTCAGTCTTATTACTGAGACACAACAGTGTCCCTACCTTCTTTGAATGTCGATTTTTACACTTGTTCTGTAGTGTACCTAATGGAATTCCAAACTGTTGACTAGCCTTTCGCACGCTCATTCTTCCAGTTAAACATGCTTTCAAAGCATTGGATAACGTTTCTCGACTGTATGAAGTTGCATATGCTCTTGAACCAGGCTTTTGTTTATATATTCCTTGACATTTTTACCGGTTAGTCCAAATGGTTCAATAAATGTACCAGAAATGTCAAAAAAAGGCCAAAACACATTAAAAATGTCAATGTAGTCTATGAAGTAACTGTGCTATATTCACAAAAATTGTTGATATACCAAAATTGTTGATATAAATTGTTGATATAATTGTTGATATATATTGTTGGCATCTGTAACAACACTTAAACATATGTTACCTTTGTTAAATGTTAGGAATTAAAAAAAAATAATCAACAATTGACCAAAGTTACCCCGGAGACCTAAGTTACCCCGGTTGGTGGTACCAAAATTTGATAACTATTACAGCATTTCTATGAGTCTTTTCAATAAAAACAAAAACTTGAATTTGCTGGTCAAAAATAAAAAACTGTAATGAATAAATTAATATTAAATATATTCATAACTTTTTACATTTATACATATTTAAACTTTAAATAAGTTTTAATAATTTTCTTATTGTTGTCATTTTTTAAATTAAAATTAGACAAGTAGTTAAAAAAAGCATACTTGATAAAGTTTATTCAAACTATTTGTTTTCTCATGTAGAGAATTTAACATTATGTCAGACTCAATTAAAATAATGTATTATTATATTATTACTAGCTGGGGTGACCCGTAAAATACGGGTCTTTACCGAACCGACCATTTTTATACTTATCTATAGCTATCCGGACGTAAACTAAGGGTCTTAGTAAATCTATTCCACACTGACCTTTTCTATACTTATTCCTTACCTCAATATTTTTTTAAAACCGTTTAAAAATGTACATATAAAAAACTATACTTACTTTTTGATATGACAAAAACATTTCTGTTAAAATGTTCTTTTAAAAACTTCAAACGATTTTAATATTATGCCGATTATAAAAATTTTAATAAGAAAAAACGTAAAAAAGACTACGAACTTAGAAAAATGCTAAAACATTCAACACGTGACGCCGTTAAAGTACGCCTTAGTTAACGTTCATAACATATACACATCTAATTAGATTTTATTTAAATTCAGTTTTTGCAATTTTGGTTTTGAATTTTTAATTACACTTATGCGTAATAAATAATCTTAAATTCTAAATAGAAAATACGTTTATGGGCTAATTGGTAGACGCGCAACACTTAGACAGATATAGTCATCTCACCCCGGGAGTTCATACTCCAGTGACCTTTTTTTTTCATCCCAACTTACAACAAAAGTAATTAAAAATAAATGTTATTATTGAAACAGTTTTAAACATTTCTTCCTATTTATCTTTGAACTTAACTTTATTCACTGCAAACATACTTTTGGTGTTTGTAAGCGTTATTTTACGTTTAGTATTTGTAGGAATTATTTGCACGCACGTATTTTAAACAATTATTTTTACTGTTTCATCTAAAAATCTTATTTAATTTAGTTTAATAATTTTTTAAATATAATATATATAATATAATTTAAAATATTTTATTAACCCTATTTAAATAAGTATCAAAACTCTTTCCTTTAATTTAAAAAGAATTTAAAATAAACGTAGGCTATAACGATATTTTACCCTTTCATCAGCATTTATTTAAAAAGTAAATTTGGATATAGAAAAACGGGTTAAAGACTTATTATTTTAAATAAGTTAGCTTTATCTATTTAATGCTTTTCGTAAAAGCGTTTCTTTAAAGACTCTTAACAAATCATTCAAGCTGTTTTTACTGCC